TTCTCCCTCTCCCACTCCCCCTGCTTGTGTTCCCTCTCTCGCTGTGTCTCTCTCTGTCAAATAAATAAATAAAATCTTAAAAAAAAAAAGATTAATAGCTATCTGCAGTCTACCTCTGCAGCTCTCCTACCACTCTACTCTGTCTCTACCTTTCTTACTACTCCCTACTCCCTTCCTACTCCCTATCTACCCTTCTTACTACTCTACCCTTCTTACTACTTCTTATTGTAAGTTCCAGCCACACTAAATTACTTAATATTTCCTGAACATGCCATTCCTCTGGCTAGAATATCCATTCCTTCTCTTCCCAGGTGAGCTCCTGCCATCCTTTAAGATCCAGCTTATATGTTACTTTTTAAAAGAAGCTTATGACTTCTCTGGAGGGTGAAAGCGATTTCTTTTTTTCCTATTTGTTTTCTCTCATTACTCTACTACAGCCCTTTCATACTATAGCTGTCTTTGAGATCCTGGAAGGCAGGATCTATGTCTTATTCATCTTTCCTTGCTTCCCCAATGCCTAGCACGTGTTTGTGAATGAAACCCATATGGAGTGTGGAGAAAGGACCCGTAAGTATGAGTGCTGATAACTAACTTGCAACAGCCTTAGCTTCTTCTTCTTTTTTTTTTTTTTATGATACAGCGATTTAATATATCTTATTGCTGAATAACTGGTATTTGAAAATAAGTATAGTTTTCTTTCTGAGTAGTCTTTTGGAAAAAGTGCATTGAATATAGTTTCCAGTCATAGTTCACTTTCCTAACTTATACTTATTTAAAAATCTTCTCATCAGGAGGGAGTTAAATCATGCCCGAACTAAAAGTCCAGCGAATCTGACTTCCTTTCCCTCATTTTGGTTTGCATGTTCATTTACAACCATCATTTCTCTTCAAACTTTCCACTTAGTGTGTCAAAAATCAATGTTACGAAAGTTCTCTAAAAGGTTCAGCGGTTTTTTGGAGTCTCTGAATGACTACAGCATTCTGTAAATCTGCTTCTTCCAATGTGAGTGTTTCATCTAGCAATTTGAGGAAAGGAAGAGCTGTGGCCAGGGAAAAGGGAGGACTTCTTTGAGATCCTTGGTATTTTTCGATGAAGTCTTTGATGTGGCTTATCCTATGAGAAATATTAAATTTCTGGACAATCCTTTTTCCATTGGCTAACCAGATCTGTACATTAGTGATGGGTTCCAGATTGTTTAGTTGAACAGACAAATTATTTTTATTCTCAACTTCAGTACTCTTTGCCTTAGAAACAATTTTTGGTGTGGCACTTCCTAGTCTGTGACCCTGTCCTGAGAAGGGCTGGAACACAGGCTTCGTTGACATACATACTTCATTATTTTTGTCTTCAACTTTAACATCCACCTCCTCTTTATCAAAAATTCCCTGTAATTCCAAAGGTAATTCCCCTTTTTTGATGGAGTTCAGAAACTGCTGACTTGCACCATCAGAGTAACTTCTGAAATTATCATTGACTGTGAATCCATTTTTCCATAATTTTATACTTACATCGACCTGTTTTTTCTGTTCAGTGGGAGACATGCATTTGGCACCAACCTTCTCAGCTTCCTCAAAAAGGCTGTCAACAAAATATTCACAATTTCTTTGTTGATCATCATTAAGAGGTTGGTTGTCAGATCCTGTTTCACAAACCCATTCTTCTTTTATACTTTCGAGATTATCTACTTCTTTCATTCTTTTGTCTTACTCCGGGCGCAGCCGCGCTGCCGCCTTCCGGCCTGGTCCTCCGTTCGCTCAGGGGCCGCGGGCGCCACCGCCGCTGTGGGGCTGGAGCCCCTCAGACGAGGAGCACCGCCGCCCCCAGACCCGCTGAGGCTCGCGGGCCCTGCCGCTGAGACCCGGCCTGCCTCCCTGGGCCTCCGCCGCCCAACAGCCTTAGCTTCTTAAACATCGTCTACCTTCCCAAGGGAAAATGGGAAACTTCTCAACTGTATTCCATTTGAAACAATTGGGTATGAGCATAATCTGGAAAGAAATGTGCTTTACATCCTCTCTTTATGAGTTACCATAAAAAGAGATTATCAGTCTTCTTGACATATCAGCAGTCTCTTAGAAAAGAGTGATTCAGGGACGCCTGGGTGGCTAGTCGGTTAAGCGTCTGCCTTCAGCTCAGGTCATGATCCCAGGGTCCTGGGATCGAGTCCTGCATTGGGCTCCCTGCTCTGCAGGGAGACTGCTTCTCCCTCTGCCTCTGCCTCTCTGTCTCTCATGAATAAATAAAATCTTA